GTTGTTGATGATCTCCAGGTTGATGTTGGGCATGGCCAACAGCAGAGCATTCCTCTTGTGTGCAGGAAGTTCTCTCTCTAGGGTCTCATGTAGCAGATGGAAATCATACAGGTGGAGCTCAAAGCTGGACACCAGGAAGACTTGAGGAGAGTTCACACCTTCATCTTGAAGACCTGTGTTACAATGTGAGACAACTATATGATGATAAGATATATAAAATAAAATTTAATATAACATAATGTGCATATCTCATATCTGTACTTTGGTTTGTGATGTCAACAGTTTTTTAATCAACTATTTACTACAAATAAACACATTTTGAGCTCAAACTGCATGACAAACATTTATGATTATGTACATGGAAATCCCTGAAAACAGATTGGTAAACCAATTAAGATTATTTACGTGTTATATTATTTTTTATTTCTAGTTTATTTGACAGGCACACTGATCAACAGAAAACAAATAAAAACTGAAAAGCTGAACGAAAGCACAGACTAATAAGAAAATATTATATCCTCTAGGCCTATATTTCCTCCTGCTGTGTTTATATTTATATTTTGATGCCACACCATTCACGCTGTTCAATGAAAACTCACAAGCTTCACACTATAACGTGATCAAAGTTTTAAGGCTTTGTATTTTTAGTACAAAATATTTACATGCCAATATTCAGCTCCACCTACTGGAAACAGGAAGCCTTGTATGGCAATCATCATCTGGTTTACATGAAATACCAGCGTGTTCTACATGTAAGGGATAATGCCCGACGAGTGTCCATTATCAGGAATTAATAGACGACTTGGAGGCCAGAACTGCCCAACACATAGGCTGCGTTTCATTAGTCGTTCAACATGCCCTCGGGGGAATCCCCGTCGCCATCATAAGTGTCGTTCCAATTGTCTGGAAAACTGAAGTGAACTTGGTGAGATGGACCCTCTGAGGGCTGAGGGAGCGAGTGAACAACGATGGTCACTCCGAGGTGGATATCACCCACAATGCATTTCATTTAACTCCCCGCTCCTCCCCCGCCCACTTTTCCTCCGCGCTCCAAGTGGCCGCCGTGCGACGTATGCTGTTACGTCATACCAAGGGCTGAGGGTAAGTGAACGAAACGCAGCCATAGCCTCCGTAAATTCCATCTATTCAATTCCACATTATTGAAAAGGCAAGGGCATTAGTGAAGAGCATTATCCCGCTTCTACCATGGTCACTTGCCAAAGATATTTTTATATTTACATTTTCATCTGTTTTTCTATCAAAACCTAAAGTGTTTTATAAGCCATAACTCAGTTTCCCTGGTAAAACCTGAGGTCATTCCTAATACCTGGGAGAATCATTACCATCCCATATCGTTCTAATGCAATGGAAACATTCACCAGTCCAGTAGGGTGTACTGTGGCAGAGGAAGAGCGGGTCGTCCCCTAATCGGAAGGTTGTTGGTTCGATCCCCGGCTCTTTCTGCCACGTGTCGAAGCATCCTTGAGCAAGATACTGAACCCTGAATTGCTCCAGATGCACAGCACCGGTGTGTGAATGTGTATGAATGAGTTAGTTTCTGCTTGATGGGCTTTAACATTGCTGAGTGAATGTGTGTGAAAGGGTGAATGTGCCATGTAGTGTAAACGGCTTTGAGTGGTCGGAAGACTAGAAAGGCGCTATACAAGTACAGGTCCATTTACCATTTACCATAAATAGGACAAACCATACGTACGACTTGGCAACGGGAGATATTTCTAGGCAAGGACGAAATTTTGATTTCAGAGGTGGGGGGGGGAACAAGTATTCCTAATAAAACTCTTTCAGTTCACCGTGTTTTCTAGTAGTTCTTCTAGTTTTCTATTGCTACTTTTAAGTTTACTGTTCCCTTTTTTGGTTTGACTGGTTGTAAAGCATGTAGCAAAACATTATCACCCAATTCTGTTTCACCTTGTTAGTCAACTTCACTCCAACTCAGTACCACCAATTTTACACTTATTTTTGGAATATATGGTAAACAGACCTCATTTACATAGAACCACCCAGTGGTGGGCAGGTCAAACTGGCAGGAATATCACAGGTGGGGAGAAATTGAATAAAATGTCCATAATTCAGTGTAAGTAGTCAAGTAATCCATTTTATTTGAAATGAGTGTAACAGAGAACCACTGTCATTTTTAGGCAGTTATATGGAAGAAAATCCTATCTTTGATGTAAATGAAAAGTGAACAAGGGTCAATTTGACCCGAAGACCACCAGAAGGGTCAACATAATCAACTCATCCAAAGCTTCCAAACACATGTTGTCTTCGATCATTGGCAGAGATCAATTCCTGGCAGAGTTTCTTCCTGTCCAAGGCATCAATCCTTTCTTGGTGTATGTGACAAACTGCCACATTGTTCAGGCGTTTGTGCTTCATGCAGTTGCGAAGCCAGGTCTCTCAACTAGCAGACCGGTGTGCAAGCAAGATGTGACAGCGGGGACGGCCAATCACACAAGAAACGACATAGCCAATCGAGGAGCTTGTGGGCAGTCTAAACTAAGGGTAACAGCAGAGCCCGTCTACGGAGAGCCTGGCCACTCTCTATTAAGTCCCATTGTACCGAATACTGGTTGCAGTGCCACCAGAGTTCCACTGGGGGCGATCGCCCATGAGTGCAGAATGAATGGGAGCAGATGGAGCTAGATGGCTAAATTTGTCTCTTTCACCTGATTGTCGTTGAGAAATCTCAGATTTGATTGTAGTTTTTGCAAATTCAACATGGTTTATAGGTCGAAAGTTGAATGAACGAGTACTTGTCCTTTCGATTTTTTACAGTACGAGTTGTTGTTGCCCATAACATGCTAGCATTCTGCTAATGAACGCTGATTGGTCAGTGAAGGACTGATTACAACCAGAGATCCCGCTTGATGGCATCGTGGCATCCAAAGCGGGACCAGAATGTTAAGGCGGAGTTCTTTTTTTAACACAGCAACTTTTTTTGGGGTTGCTGGCACTTTTATCTGCCTATCATTACGTCTGTGTTGTCGATGCCTCGAGAGAAAAAGGAAGTGCAGAGCGGGGAAGCACAAAGAGACTCGAGGCTTGCCGTAAAGCAGTATCTCTGGCCTTACAATGTGTATGACGTCATTGACATTTTAAAAGACCTTTTAAAGAAAATAAGTGACTCTAAAAAAATCTAACACCCAGCAATGTGTAATTTCTTTGCATCACCTTTCGAATGCAACATTCAAATTACTAGACAAAAAATGATATCCTGAGAAAAGTGTATTTTGAGGGTATAGCTCCATAGAGCTCCATTCATTCTGCACTCATCCTGTGAACCAGAGGGGAACTGCAACAGTTCAGAACCCGGAAGTTTACAGAGAGTGGAACTTCTCTCCTTATTAGACATTCTCTGGTAACAGGCTTCAGCTTGAGCAGACGTTTTCCGCTTGGTCCTAGTGCTTGACGTGTCTCTGTTTACTATAGCGTAACATTGTTTTTGGACGGTCCCTCCGCTCATAGAACGCTTTGGCTCAGCTACGAGCCAGAGTGCTAACATTCAAAGTCAATAACATTGTGTACAAACAGTGAATATAATTTTACAGTATGTTAGGAGGGGAACTACAAACGTTCTTTTTGTTATACAGCGTTCTGATGTATAATGAACACATTTCCTTTATTCCTTGATTACTTGTTAAAGGAGACATTATTGTCTTATTATTTGTACATTTCTGTGCCCTTAGCGGACAAAAATGAAATTCCATCACTTTGAAACTGTTAATCCCTCCACACATTCCATTAAGGTCAGAGGCCATTTTATGAAAAAATCTTACAGAAATTCACCATTGAATGAATAATTAATCCGTGTACAATGATAGTTTGAGGCTTGTATAAGAATGATATATAATTTTATTTTTGTTTTGTGTCTTTTGTAGGGTTACAATAAACTTTTGTCCCTTCCTGCTGATTGATTATTGTCTTCTTCACAATCATTTATTGAGGGGAGGGTTTGGGTCACAGGTGTTTTTTATATATAGCAGGTCTAGACTGTACTCCTGTAAAATGATCACATACACAGTACACTGTGAACAAGCAACTACATGCAGTAAAAGATGCAGTTCATCACTAATTACAGAATATTTATTTCATGTACACACATTTGACTTATCTCTGTAATGAGCAAAACCTGTTTCATTGAATGACAACAGTTTCAGTGTATTGTAACGACTAAAACCAGTTCAGTCAGACAACTCACGTTTGAAATTTTATTTAGAAAGTAATGTTTATTACAGCAGTATAGCATATTTAGATTTTGGCGTCTAGGCTCCGACCTCATCACTCCCTGCAGATATGTTTACATAGAGATATTGGGGAGTGATGAGCAAATACCTTAAACCCCTAGCCGGAGCCTACAGGTGGATGCTGGGATGGTGGTGGGGCTTACAGAGCAGCAGAAGCAATACGGATGCAGGGCAACAGCAGCATTGAAAGAGCTGAGGGAGAGCTGGGAAACTGTGCAGTTTAAACAGACCGCCAGATTGGAAGGGTGCGCTTGGTTAGTGATTATGGAGTGAGGCATGTCATGTGTATGTAGCAGCACAGCTCGAGTTAACTGCCTGAACTAGCTCACAGTTTTCATTACATTAAACTATCACAATATCACACTGATGTCTTCAGACCCAGGTCCCTTTTAAACACTGTGTGTGCATCCTCAGCAAACATGTTGAGGAAACTATTCAGAGTTCTGTTGGTTGTGATCAAAGAGAGGGTCACTGCTGCTAAGATTCCAAATACTGGAATGAATCCGGACCCTCCCTCTTCTGCTGTTGATGCAGCTGTGCTTACACATTGAGAAAGCAGCTTCATGATAAGAAATGGGGTTATTTTTTTTACAGCCATTGGTAAACGGATAGCAGCTGTCAGATCCTTCAATGGCACACCTGTGCTACCAGCTAGACTCTTCAGTGATGAGCTATCAAGACCAAACCTGACTACGTATTTTGAGACAACTCCAACCATCAAAGCTACATCGACAGCAACAGAAAGCCCAGGAAGTGGTACAGCTGCACCGAGTGCAGATAGAGTAGCAAAGAGCTTTATTTGCGAATGGAAAGCCTTTTTCTTCTTGTTGATGATCTCCAGGTTGATGTTGGGCATGGCCAACAGAAGAGTGTGTACAGGAAGTTCTCTCTCTAGGGTCTCCTCTAACAGATAGAAATCATACAGGTGGAGCTCAAAGTTGGACACCAGGAAGACTAGAGGAGACTCAACACCCTGTTGCTGAAGACCTGCGGCACAAAAGGAATAAATGGTATGAAGATTACTTTTAGAAACTGGTGAAATAATTTAAATATTTAAATCACATGAATACCCAATCTGTTCTCATCTCAGGTTTGTCTTCGTCACGTCCCCTCAGCATTTCATACATATGCACAGGGTACCCTTTAGTATATGTACGGGCTGCAGAAAGCCTTTTGAACACAGTAAGCATTGTGAACTCTGTGTCAAAGTTTGGTTTAGGCAACTGGAACAACTTGACTGACTTTAGGGAACAAAACTACTTTGTTGGGTGTGACAAGTCACATAAAGTCCAGAGTTTAAGCCATCCACCCCCCCCCACCACATGCAAATGTGGACTCTTTATACTACCTCACATGGACAAGTTTACATTGAAACCATGGAATAACTTTGCTGCTTTTGTTGTGAAATTCAGACGTCCACGTTATCTTATTGTTGTAAAGTCTTTTGGTTTGAACTGTGACAAGGAGGCTTGCAAGTTTAGTTTAATGATGAAAATCCAGTTATAAATCCTACAATTATTATAAATGATTCCATAAGACCCTTACCTTGAATGCAGTTTTTTGTGTGATCGTCTTTTTCTCATCAAACTCCCTCTTACTTCTTTTCTCAGCTCGTAAATCGTTGTCAATCTTTGAGCGAACAAAGTAGAATTTTTTCTCCATCTTCTGAATCTCCTGAGCGAGTTTCACATCATTCTCTCTGAAGCAAGTGTCTGAGATGATGATGAAGAAGTCAAACTTCTCAAATCCAACATGCTCCAGGTATTTGTCAGCTGGAAACTCGGTGGTACCAACACCAGGAAGATCCCACAGAGTAACATTGGGGTAATTTGGATGGGCGTATGGTGTAACCTCTGAGGTGGTTTCATCAGTAGGGGCAGCTTCCTCATCACTGTTGTCTATGCCTCTAAAGGCATTGACAAAGGTGGATTTACCAGAGCTACCCTTTCCTGTGACGGAAATATTTAGTGGATAATTCTTCTTCTTGTCCAAATACTCCTGGATCTTTGCAACAGCTAAAGCTTGATTGTTGTTTTGTAGAGCTTCTTTAATTTCTTCAGTGAATTCAGAATGCAGTGGATTATCCATGGTGATTCTTGAATCACCTGCTATATACAATGGCTTTTTCTTTTCTTAAGTACATCTGAGTGGGTATTTATAGCATTTTGAGACTTTTAAATTCTATTAGACATACATATATAACAGAGGGATTTTGTTAACATGAAGTACCTTGAGAACGATTTAAAGGAGAGGAGCTGGTCCTATAGAGGCACCTTGGTTTCTCTTGTTGGCTACATGTAAATCATTTTTATTCTAAGTTCAATCCAATTTGTATATATCATGGTTTGCCCCGGTTGGGGCCTGTTAGGAGGATAGGTTAGATGGTTATCTGCAGTACAATGCTAGAAGAGATGTGTGCGATCTCGACAGGTTCAGTAGATCAGCATAGGGATTTAAGGCTCAGTTTAAGTTTTAGTTTTATAGTTAGACAGGGACTTTTTCTCGCTTTCTTATTTTTCTTATTTATCCTAGAAGCACAATGTCTGACACACAAAAGTCAGGCTATATTCGTTTTTTGAGTTGGAACATAAAGGGAATCCATAATCCAGTGAAGCGAAGTAGGGTGTTTGCGCATATGAAAACATTAAGAAGTGATAACATGTTTCTACAGGAGACTCACCTACGATCAAGTGAATGCACAAAGCTAAAGAAAGCTTGGATAGGGCAATTATTTTGTTCAAAAAATGTTGATGGGCACGTGGTACAGTGATTTTGATTAGAAAAGGCATCCCATTCACCCCATCACAGACTGTGTGTGACTCCAGGGGCAGATATGTTATAGTGAGGGGCAATTTGTATGGTACCCAAGTAACATTAGCTAATGTATACGGACCTAATTGGGATGTCCCACTTTTTTTTACCAACTTTATAGCAGCATTACCATATCTCAATAACAATCAGTTGATACTGGGGGGCGATTTCAACAGTGTTTTACATCCAAAACTAGACAGATCAAATCCAAGACCTAACAGTAAGATTTCAAACTCAGGTGCAGTTATCCAATCACTTATGGACACATACGCACTTTTTGACCCATGGAGGAAAAACAATCCAGCTACTAGGCAATACTCCTTCTTCTCCCCAGTTCACCACTCTTTTTCCAGGTTCGACTTCTTCCTTGTAGATAGCAGAACTCTCCCGATGGTCAAGGATAGCCAGTATAATAGCGTTGTAATTTCTGACCATGGCCCGGTACAGCTGGATATATGTTTCCCAGAGTGCATCAGACCACGCCGCACATGGCAGTTTGACCCTCTGTTGTTATCTAGAGACTCTTTTAAGAAATCTATCTAAATTTGGCTTTGGATCATCATTCTTGACCTGGATCAAAATAATATATGATGCACCCACTGCAGCTGTGTGGACCAATAGCAATATTTCTGACTATTTCCCCCTTTACAGGTCTTGTAGACATATCTGTTCGATCTAGCGGTCGAACCCCTCGCTATAGCCCTTAGAGCAGAAGAGGGTATTACCGGTATCTCCTGTGGCGCCAAAGTCCATAAAGTGGCGCTATACGCGGATGACCTGCTTTTGTATATATCCAACCCGACAGTATCGATACCAAAACTATTGTTGATGCTAGAAAACTTTACACACCTCTCAGACTACAAATTGAACTACTCAAAGAGCCTGCTTTTTCCAATTGACCGCACAAATGGAGATTATTCCAAATTTCCGTTCAAAATAGAACGTGATATGTTTACATATCTAGGAATTAAAGTTATCCATGAGATGGAGAATTTAGAGAAACACAACTTTAAGTCATTATTAGAACAAACAAAACAAGAGCTTGGGAAATGGTCAACATTACCGATCTCATTAGCAGGTTGCATTAATATAAACTTAGCACAAAAAGTAAGGAAATTTGTGTTTGGTTGATTATTTCTCTGTGGTAACAATGCTTTTTGGCAATAAATCTTATACTGTTGGAAAGCCTGTTTAGTTCCCTTTCAAATGGTGCCCCATTTGTAAGGAACATGCACTTGTGGGATGAGCAGCAGAGCTGAGTATGTGGGTGAATGAATGAAAAATCTTCTCTGCCAATGCCAAACAGCTTATTCTGCCATTGACTCGTTTGGTGTTTGGTGGATTGGATGATTGAAGTTTGAAGAAACAAGACATATTGGCAATTTACACACCATCACACTGCCTAATAAAGATGTTATTCTATCGGTGCAGCAATCAGCATAGCGTTCTCCGCGTCTTCTCCACACTTTGACCCTACGATCCAGCTGCCATAGGCAGAATCTGGACTCATCACTGAACATAACGTTCCCACACATGTTCAGGTTCCAGTGCACGTGTTGCCAACACCAGCGCAAACGGGCCTTACGGTGAAGGGCAGTCATGGCAGGACTCCTGGCAGCCCTATGAGACCGGAGATTGGCTGCGTGTAGTCTGTTCCGGATTGTCTGGCCATATCGTCCTGCAAACCATGACTGCAAATCTGTAGAAGACAGCCTACGGCACCTAAGTGCTGAGGGTGAGGAAATGGTCTTCTTGGGGTGTCGTCTTCTTGGGACACCCACTTCGCGGCCTGTCTTTGACATCCCCCATTATATGATACTTGGCCTTCAGTTTGGAGATGGTACTAGGGCTCACTCCAAATAATTCCGCAACTTGGTTTTGCGGAACACCAGCTTGAAGTTGCCCTATTGCCCCATTAGTTGCCCAATAAGATGCCAATCAGGCACCTGATTGGCAGCACCTGGGGGTACCAGAAGCTCAAAACAAGTGTCAATAGCAACAGCAAAATAACCTGTTTGGCAGTGGCAGAAAAGATTTGGCAAATTTTTCATGGGCGCAACACACATACTCAGCGCAGCTGCTTGTCCCACAAGTGCATGTTCCTTACAAATAGGGCACCATTTGAAAGGGAACTAAACAGGCTTTCCAACGGTATAAGATTTATTGCATCAAATTGGCATTAAAGGAACCGCACTAAGCTGGTTTAAGTCATATTTATCAGATCGCTCGCAGTTTGTACATGTTAACGATGAATCTTCAATAAATACTACAGTTAGTCATGGAGTTCCACAAGGTTCTGTACTTGGACCAATACTATTTACTTTATATATGCTCCCTTTAGGCAACATTATTAGGAATCACTCCATTAACTTTCACTGTTATGCAGATGATACGCAGTTATATCTATCAATCGATAGATGAAATTAATCAATTATCTAAATTACAAACATGTCTTACGGACATAAAATCCTGGATGACCTGCAATTTTCTGATGTTAAACTCAGAAAAAAACGAAATTCTTGTTCTTGGCCCCAAAAACCTTAGAGACTCATTGTCTAAAGATATAGTTACTCTAGATGGCATTAATTTGGCCTCTAGCACCACTGTCAGGAATCTTGGAGTTATCTTTGATCAGCATTTGTCATTTAACTCCCACATAAAGCAGACCTCTAGGACCGCCTTCTTTCATTTACGTAATATTAGAAAAATTAGACACATCCTATCACAGACAGATGCAGAAAAACTAATCCATGCATTTGTTACTTCAAGGCTGGATTACTGCAACTCTTTATTATCAGGTTGCCCCAATAAGTCCATTAAAACGCTCCAATTAATTCAGAATGCTGCAGCACGAGTACTGACAGGAACTAGAAAAAGAGATCACATCTCTCCTGTACTAGCTTCTCTGCATTGGCTCCCTGTAAAATGTAGAATTGAATTTAAAATCCTCTTCCTCACCTATAAAGCTCTTCATAGTCAGGCCCCTTCATATCTTAAAGAGCTCATAGTACCCTATTACCCCTCTACAACACTACGTTCTCTGAATGCTGGGCTACTTGTGGTTCCTATAGTCTCTAAAAGTAGAACAGGAGCCAGAGCCTTCAGTTACCAAGCTCCTCTCTTGTGGAACCAGCTTCCAGTTGTGGTTCGGGAGGCAGACACCCTCACCACATTCAAGAGTAGGCTTAAGACATTCCTCTTTGATAAAGCTTATAGTTAGGCCTGGATCAGGTGAGTCCTGAACCATCCCTTAGTTATGCTGCTATAGGCTTAGACTATCGGGGGATTTCCCATGGTGCACTGAGCTCCTCCCTTCCTCTCTCTTTCTGCACTCATTCATGTTCCATTTATGCATGTTACTAACTTCACTTCTTCCCCCGGAGTTCTTGTGCTTTCTCGTCTCGCAGGTTCTTGTCGATCCTGGTGGAGCCTCCTGCCATGGTCCTGCTAGATTGCCGCTGCCAATACTGTTGTTGCTATGCACCTGTCTGTCTGTCTGTCTGTCTGTCTGTCTCTCTCTCTCTCTCTCTCTCTCTCTCTCTCTCTCCACCCAACTGGTCGAGACAGACGACCACCCACCTAGAGCCGGAGGATCTGTCCTAGGTTTCTGCCTTTTAACAGGCAGTTTTTCCTTGCCCTTGTCGCCAAGTGCTTGCTCATGGTGGTACTGTTGGGTCTCTGTAATTAATGTTAAAGAGTTCGGTCTAGACCTGCTCTATTTGAAAAGTGTCCTGAGATTACTTCTGTTATGAATTGGCGCTATACAAATAAAATTGAATTGAATTGAATTGAATTGCCAAAAGCATTGTTACCACAGAGAATTAATCTACCAAACACAAATTTCCTTACTTTTTGTGCTAAGTTTGGTTAAAATGACAGTCCTACCTAGATTTCTTTATGTTTTTCAGATGATCCCCATATTTATCCCCATGAAAACATTTAAACAGCTAGATAGACTAATCTTCATTTATATGGAACAATTCTAATCCTAGGATGAAAAAAACGTACCTGGAGGTTCCTAAAGATGCTGGTGGGTTGGGATTACCTAATTTTCTTTGGTATTATTGGGCTGCTAACATAGTAAAATTAATTTATTGGATTTACAAATATGAGAGTAAGCAGGGTCCATACTGGGTTCATTTGGAACTATTATCCAACCCTCTATCAACACTCACATCATCGTTACCACACAACTGTAGTATACAGTTCACAAACCCGGTTGTTAAAGCCTCACTTAGGATATGGTTACAGTTTAGGAGACATTTTGATTTAAAGCAGTATAGC